CTTTTGGATTTGATCATTAACATATTTGTAGAAAAGAATTGCATAACTGTCAGCAAAAGTATGTTCTTCTGCAACTTTAACTTTTAAATGCTGTATATTCCTTTTCTATAACAGACGATAAGCTGATTACTTGGCACATTTTTTCCCCTTTTTGTGTATATCTGCATATGAAATTTACAGTTTTTGTATAAATTTTTTCCAATTTGCTTTAATATGTATCTAATATAGTCACACATCATATCTGAGTGACATTTTCAGTATGAATAAGTCAGAATAATAATTTACACTAGCCGTCATGCTTCAACTATCCTGCGAGTCAGCTGAAAGACGACTGCTCTCTCTACACCCACTAATGTGTGGTCGAATGATTAAGCTGCCTGTCACCATCAGCCATGTGTCCCGTCACTTTCTGTCTCATACAGATATTGAATGGCGCAGATGTGCTTTACTTTCAGCATTGCTGAAGAATGGTGAGGATTTGAAGAGGGAAGTTTCTGAACCTGGGTTTTGTTCATTGTCATTTTTCATGTGCTGCTGTTACCCTGGCAACCAGCCATCGTGGTGGCTACGCCTAGATCCACTCTGAAGCCATCATCATTTCATTTTCAAAGCATTTATTTTTAAGCGGTTCAGCTGTTTGAGGCCTTAAAACAAAATATTTAACTTTTATTATTTAAATTAAAGGTGTAGAAATCCTTGAAGGAATGAACATTGCAGACCACCAGTTTTAGACCATTGCCGCTTTGCCATTGATAAGTGTGACTCCACTGTCCTCTTCTCAGGTTTAGGTGATTTGCCACACCTGTTTTCCCGCTCTGTGGGTGGGATCGTAACTGGTCTTTTTGTGTTTGAACGACTCCACCCATTGTTGTCCTTAATAGCCCTATAATTGGACTTGAATTTCATTAGCTTATTCCAGCACTGCTTATAAGTCCGGATATAGCCATGAAGGGAAGCCATGTAGCCATCATCTCTGACATCTCTTGGTAAATGGGTTTGTTTCTTGTGGCGCCATCCATCAACACTATAAGGAAGTGGAGGTTCAGATGTAGTTTTGCTGTGCAGGTCATCCAGTGATCTAACTCCACTGGCCATTCAACGGCTCCTGTCTGCTTATGTCAAATTGGCCCATCGGAGCAGCCCACTTGGAACCATAACCATGGTGGTTCATGAACTGAGTAGGGAGGCTCTTAACTGGTTTCGTGTTGTGCGGATCAGAGGAGAGTTGAGACAACAGAAAAATGCCATAAGATTGTATGATGAGAAATGAGAGTTATGCTTTGGTCCAACTGTGAAACTAACATTATGTGCAAACTCTTGTGATAACACACATTCTTGTATGATCTGTTGGTTTAATATCTGTACACTTCACTGCAGTCTGGCCATTGTTGTGTAGGCTACAATTGATTAGCCATGAGGGCATTCAAACAATTAGTTGACTCCAAAGGCTAATCAAAAGTGTCATTGACTTCTGTCCTGTAAATCAAGAGCTATCTGGGACATTTTCAGGGTTAAAAACATTTTTGTGTTTCCGAAAGAAGTCTGATGTGTTGGCCATGTTAGGTAGAATCCAAAAAATATTCAATTATATATATATATATATATATATATATATATATATATATATATA